AGCCATCAAGATCAATCATCTCAGAAATGAGGCCGTGTTTGTAGCGATTATAGAATTGCGAATACAGTGATTAGAAAGTCGTCTGATTGTGACTTCCATTGTTGGAGCTTGTTTGGATCGGCTATCTATTGTGATTTTTAGACAGCCTACAGAACCCCCTCCAAAGTTTTCGAAAGTTCGCGGTTGACTGGGACGAATTTTCGGAATACTTTGGATCCCAAAATTTAGTGGATTGATTGCTCCCTCCGTCTGATCGAGCCAGATGATTTCACCGTTGTTGGTTGTAATCTATCTGTACTCCTCCAATAGACTCCCCAGTGGAGTCGTTTGTTTCTTCCCGGCTTTGGTCGCCTTGACGATTGCTGTTAGCTCTTCTTTTATTCATCTGGGGCTGTGTCGTAGCCTTGGTAGTCAAGAAGCTGCTATCATAGCGGTCCAAACACAGAGATAATTTCTGCCTTTGAGGATTGGAACGCGTGGGTGAGCCCAGCGTTGGGAAATTTGAACGCGAAGGTGGGCATCGCGTTTGGAAGCTCAAACAACTCGAACGCGAGGGTCGAGTTTGGGCGGGCTGATGGCCTCGAATCCCGTCCGTTACGATTTGACAGCTCATAGCTGTCTATAAATAGACCGCTAGAGGTCAAATCAAGAGTCATTCGACTCTTCTTGAAATTTTAACGAAAAATTTTCGTTCTCATCTCCGGCGAAACGCTGTACACCTCCTCTGACGAGATTTAATGGCACCCAAGAAATCAGTCGCTTCTAAATCCGATGCCGCTGCTGCTCGAGGGTCGGCATCGTCAGCGTCGGCCGGCGGCGCTGCTGCTCAGGCGGATGTGCCGCCCCAGCTTCCTTTGATTGGTGGTGAGTATGACCTCCGTGGCCATTAAACTTGCTTTGGCAAGTTCTGATCTTGAGATCAACGAGGAAACTCGTTTCAATAACGCGCGCTCGAGGGTCGGCATCGTCAGCGTCGGCCGGCGGCGCTGCTGCTCAGGCGGATGTGCCGCCCCAGCTTCCTTTGATTGGTGGTGAGTATGACCTCCGTGGCCATTAAACTTGCTTCGGCAAGTTCTGATCTTGAGATCAACGAGGAAACTCGTTTCAATAACGCGGGGCTGGACTCCGTCGTTTGGTATTTCTGACGTGGGGTTCAACCTCCGCATCTCAGATTTTTGACGCGGGGGTCGACCTGCGCGTCTGAACTTTTTGACGCGGAGTTCGTCCTTCGCGTCCAAGCTTATCTGACGCGGGGTTCGACCTTCGCGTCTGAACTTATCTGACGCAGGGTTCGACATTCGCGTCTGAACTTATCTGACGCGGGGTTCGACCCTCGCGTCTGAGTCTTGCTTTTGAGTTATCTAACTTTCTTCTTCCTTTTGCAGTGCGCCATACCAGTGAACCTCTTCTTTTTCGCCACCATTTTGGGCATGAAGGTGGTGCGGACATGAAGATGGCCTTTAGCTCACGCCAAGAACTCCCAGTTTTCCGAATTACGGAGAAGAGTCGCATAGAATTAATTACCCAAGCTTCTTCCGACACTCTTAGGACATTGGTTACGGACGCCCGACTTGAAAGCCCAAGCCGTAAGCCAATAGTCAAACCTGGATATCTTTTCGGGGACTTTGTTGACTTCGACGCCAGCACTGCTTATGATGGGGACTATAAGTGGTTGCGGAAAGTTGGGGACCGCAACCTTTTCTTGCCCAATATGGAGAGGATGTTCCCCATATCTTATTTCCAGTGTGCTTCTGTCCCAAGGCATATGGATTGGCCCCTGGTTAAGGATCAAGATGGGGTTGCTCTCGGGACTTTGACTTTTCACGGGGTCCGCACAGTTGGTTATAACCGGCAGGTGACAGCTTTGCGGCCGAGTTTATTTGCTAAGGAGTATCCCCTTGGCGAAGTGCCCAGCCCGGCGAAGACCTTTGTTAAGAGGTTTTTGGAAAAGAAAGGAGAATTCCCCGCACAAGGATTTAGAGCTCCTGGTTGGGTTCATTCTCCAGTGACAGGGTGGTGGGCCCAGATGACCAACTTCCGAATCGCTGAACGCCTTTCATAGGCGATACCTTCAGCATAACTAAATCTCCAACCTGAAACTCCAAGGGTCTTCGTCTCTTATCTGCATAGCTCTTTTGCCGAATCTGAGCAGCTAAAATCCTATCTCTGATCAATGCTACCTTCTCAAAAGTCTACCTTACAAGTTTTGGTCTAAGCATTAAGCTGTCATCTCAATCTGCCCAACATATCGGTGCTCTACAAGGTCTCCCGTACAATACCTCATATGGGGCCATACCGATCGGAGAAGCTTTGGCAAACCACTGACGGAAATCCATAACAGTAGAACAGCCGGGCGGTGAGTTGGGTAAAGTGAATTGCGCATGGGTTCCCCCGGCAGAGAAGAAGTACCATGCATGAGCTCCTTCATACAAATTCCCAATCTGAGCTAACGCTGGGTTAGGATTACCAACATAGAGTTGGTCATACCCAAACTGTCTGGCGAACCGTGAAGGCATGTAAGGCTCGATTATGCACTTCTCCCGCGAACGATAGACCAGGTAGCCCAACCTGATCATAAGAAGCCAGCTGAATGTACCCTCTTCCAAAGAAGACGTGCCTTCAAAAAGCAAATCCATGAAGCGAGCATCCTCCACATCAGCTCCGTCAAAGTTAGGAGCACAGCAGAAAACCCGGTAATTATCTTCCCGGGATAGAAGCTGTCGAGCCCTGACTATATAAGAACTAGTCCACGTGGCCGACTCCAATCTTTGTACGAAGGGAGTATAAGCATCATCCCCTTCATGCACTCCCGTCATCAAGGAAGGGCAATGCAACACGAACCAGGCCACTAAATATGTATATGGCATTGGTACACGTGGTTGAGGAGCCTTCCCAACTTTCTTCTTAGTAACTTTGACTCCTGAAGCACTGAGAAGTTCTGAAGTCAATACCCTCAGGCCGTTCTGGATACAGCCAACCATAGCAGTAAGGAGACTCACAGGTCTCCCATGCGCTAGCAAAACAGCTGGGTACACAACCTCAGCTAATATTGATTCTATTGGTCTTGACGGTACCACACACCGCTTCAACCAAATCATGAAGAAGCCTGCAAGTAGAGCCGTGTCAGAGATAGGAACTGTGGCTTGGTAGTGAAAACTTTCAAACTCGGCATAAGTAGCACCAGGAGCCTTAATCCGAGCCTTGGCGTCCTTAAGTGAGACAACTGCGACACGGGATACGGCTACATCTTTCCGATTTAAGTTTTGAAAGAGGTAGTCTGCCCATGTGGTATGCATAATGCCCCCTCCACGCATCCCAAAGACTTGGGCACATATGTGGAAGTGGCACATCAATTCCCAGAAAGTAGCGTAAATTTCCGGGTACACCACCTTCAGTAAGGAAAGCTCCTCCGTGGTGGGGATAAACTCCTCGTAGGGCGTTTTTCCAAGCGACAGCCCCGACACTGCCTGCATCTCATGAAGAGCAAAACCTAACTCTCCAGCAGGCGTAAAGAATGTGCAGCTGTCAGGGTTATATTTCTCCAACATAGCGAAAAAATTGTGAAGGCTCTGTACGACTCCCCGTTGTGTAGCTAACACAGGAACTGTAAAACCCGATTGAGCGAGCGAGTCCTTAAGCTCCTCAAGAACAAAGTCAACCATGCGGGTCCACCAACCTCCTTCTCCAGAACAGACCCATCCAGGGGACCGGAACGTCTGGGTAGAGAATCCACCCTGAGTTGCAAGGAATTGGCGGATAAAAATGTTCGCTGGACATGGCATCTCCGGAACCAGCTCCTTCTTCTCAAACAAACCAGGTCTTAACCCCTTTAGTTGCCCCCCGATTTGCGTACGAGCTCGCCGACCAAATCCAAGCGACACATTCTCCTTCTCTTTTACTATGTCGAAGGTCAAGCCCCGACGGCAGCTCACATTCAGAAAGTAGGAGAGAGGGTACATCCTCTTCATGCTAGGGAGAAATAAAAAGCGATTATCAACTCTCCGCAGCAGCTTTGAGTCTTCCATACATGTGAGATGATCATTAGCTGGTATGCGATCTCCAAATATGAACGCTGGTTTAGGAAACTGGGCATGACCGACAGGGGTCTCCAAGTCCAAGTCAGTTATCAAAATCCTGAGAGTAGAGCATTGAGGGAATTTAATCATTTCCGCTCTTTCCGAATCAGGAAAAGTACACAATGGAATTTGGTTCTGAAGACTGAATATCTCATTCGCGTCAGGTCCCCCGATGTACCCAAAATGATGCTCTTGTGAAAGTGGCACGTTTGGGAGAAGTACTGCACAATCAAAAGCAGAAGTTAGCGGCGAGCTATCAACATAAAGGCATAGCCTGAAACATAAAATTTCCGGGTGCGCCACCTTCAGTAGAGAAAGTTCCTCGGTGGTGGGAATGAACTCCTCGTAGGGCATTTTTCCAAGCGACAGCCCCGACACTGCCTGCATCTCATGAAGAGCAAAACCTAACTCTCCAGCAGGCGTGAAGAATGTGCAGCTGTCAGGGTTATATTTCTCCAACATAGCGAAGAAATTATGAAGACTCTGCACGACTCCCCGTCGTGTAGCTAACACAGGAACTGTGAGACCCGATTGAGCGAGCGAGTCCTTAAGCTCTTCAAGAACAAAGTCAACCATGTGGGTCCACCAACCTCCTTCGCCAGAACAGACCCATCCAGGGGACCTAAACGTCTGGGTAGAGAATTCACCCTGAGTTGCAAGGAATTGGCGGATAAAAATGTTCGCTGGACGTGGCACCTCCGGAACCAGCTCTTTCTTCTCAAACAAACCAGGTTTTAACCCCTTGAGTTGTTCCCCGATTTGTGTACGAGCCCGTCGACCAAATCCAAGCGACACGTTCTCCTTCTCCTTTACTATGTCGAAGGTCAAACCCCGACGGCAGCTCACATTCAAAAAGTAGGAGAGAGGGTACATCCTCTTCATGTTTGGGAGGAATAAGAAGCGATTATCAGCTCTCCATAGCAGCTTCGAATCTTCCACATATGTGAGATGGTCATCGACTGGTATGCGATCTCCAAATATGAATGCTGGTTTGGGAAACTGGGCATGACCAACAGGGGTCTCCAAGTCCAAGTCAGTTATCAAAATCATGAGAGTAGAGCATTGAGGGAATTTAATCATTTCCGCTCTTTCCGAATCAGGAAAAGTACACAATGGAATCCTGTTCTGAAGACTGAATAGTTCATTCGGGTCAGGACCACCAATATATCCGAAATAGTGCTCTTGTGAAAGCGGCACGTTTGGGAGAAACAGTGCACAATCAAAAGCAGAAGTTAGCAGCTAAAAGCGAGCTATCGACATAAATCAAAGATGCCCAAGAGATGATATCTTTTTTAGGCATTTGATCAAACACCTTGCGAGCGCAGACCAGGCTGCCGCATTTTGCATAGGCATCGAGGAGGGAGTTGGCAACGCAGAGGTTGGAGCTTAGGAGGCCAGATTTCGCAATGGCGCCGTGGAGAGAGGTGACGAGCTTGAGGTCTCTTCGGCCGCCACAGGAATTGATGAAATCGACAGCATCGGCAGAAGAGAAGAAGAGAGCCTGCAGGTTGGAGGAGGGATGGGTTTGGGCGATGGATGGAAGAGAGGACATCGGGTGAGCTCCTTTTGGATCCACGTGTATTCAATAAAACGGATGACAAAGATTGAAATAATCACGAGTAGCTCGTAGTACGAACATAAGCCTACATGCTCGGCCTGAGCAACTTAGGGCGCGTTTGTTTCTCGGTTTTTAGGTGGGAAAGTGCCCGAAAGTTGCCACGGCAGTGGGGGTAGGGGGAGGGTCTGGAGGAGGGGGCCTGGGCTTGTTGAATGGGGGAGGAGGGGGTAGGGGGAGGGTCTGGAGGAGGGGGCCTGGGCTTGTTGAATGGGGGAGGAGGGGGTAGGGGAGGTGAGGTAGGTGGGGAAGGAGGGTGGGGGTTTGGTTTTTTGGTCACGACTAGAGGGAATGAGCGGAAGGGGGAAGATGGGTGTCGGGTGAAAAGCGACCCTTTTTCTGCACGGGACTAGTAGTCCCGTGCAAAAAAAAGTCGATTTTGCTAATTTTTCTGTTAAGCGGTCGCTTTTGCTCATTAAATTCGAAATACGGTCGTTTTTCAAAATTTGTCCTTTTCAAAATCATTTTAATTAACCTAATCGCATTTTTTGGCGTCTTTCTTCAACTCCGTAAGGTCTATCATGGATATAGCTGCGTTTTTTGATGTATTTTGAAGACATAATAGTATGCCTTTGTGGTTCTCTGTCTATTATGTTTCTATTTTGTCATGTTTTTGGTATTCTTTTTTCCTTAATTTGATGTGTACTATACAGGAAAATAAATAGGTAGAGAAAGGAGGGAGGGAGTAAGTATGAAGGTCACAATTCTTGGATGCGTTGAAAGGACATATATGAAAGCTAATACTTCTACTTACTATGCG